TAGTATTCCTAGATATTAAAGGTGCCTTTGACCACGTCGCTCTAAACTAGCTACTTGCTATATTACAACAGCTACAGCTACCTTACAACCTAATAGTATAGGTTTAATTATTCCTATCTAAGCGCTAGCTAAGACTATCCTTTAATAGAGAAATAGAAGGCTTTAGCAGCATTACAGCAGGAATTCTACAAGGCAGCCCTGTCTTACTAATCCTATTTCTAATATATATTAGACCTCTGTTTTAATCTATTACAAACTACTCCCTATCCTACCTAGATAACCTAGCAATTACAGCATTATCTACTAGCCTAAAGAAGAATGTCTGTATACTAGAAAGAGACATAGCAAGCCTATTTGCTAAAGGAGTAAGCTGCGCTATACAATTTAATGCAGCAAAGATAGAGCTTATTTACTTTATAACAAGTAATAAAGCTATTAGCTCTACACTTACCCTGCTAGACAGGTCTACTTTAGAGCCTAAAAAGACAGTAAAGTGGCTAGGAATCTACTTTGACAACGCACTCTCCTTTAAAGAACACGTAGCTACAAGGATTAGCAAAGCAAGAAACGCTTTCTATATATTAATATAAAGTTTCTAACGTACTCTATCACCAAGCCAGTCATATCACTGAACTAGTCAAAATCTCTTGGCGCGCCCAACTTATGTTGTAGCAACTTGAATTACTTGCTATTAAACAGTGATCTAGCGTACTGCGTGCTTTTATTAGATTTAGAATCTTCTTCTGTATCTTTCTAACACGTTTAAGCGTTGTGCCCTGTGCCTCTACAGTTTCTACAGCGCTGTTAGGCTAACTAGGTCCTTTCTTGAGTACCTGCACCACGAGTCTTCTTTGATGGCTGAGCTGCTACAGACACCTCAGCAGCTACCTGTGATGCTGCTGGGCCATACTTAAGTGTGCCGCCATGCTGAATTTGCTTTCGCTTGCGCGACTTTCTCCTAGTCATGACTGCTAATTGCTCTTCAAGCTCAGTAATGCGAGCAGCTTGCAGCGCGTTTTGGTGCAGCATTAATTCACTACCTTTGTTAAGCTGAGAGAAGCTGGCCTAGGCTGTAACTAGTAACTAAGTAAAGGAGTTATATACAAGCTTTAACTAAGACCTAAACTTGTGTGTATTGCTTAGAGTCCTTGACTGCCACAGTGTCTCTAGTAGAGGGGGTGCTGGTAGGGTACAGTGTCGCACCTCAAGGCAATCTAACACTACCTGCGCGTTAGTAGGGACTAGCCCTGATGCCTTAAAGGCCTTCTAATAGTTGGCCTTTGTAAACACGTTAAGAAACGCGTCTCTAAAGGCTGGAAGGAAGCCTTCCTTGTTAATGTAGAAGACGCGTTGGCGTGCTAAGTCCTAGACGCGTTAGGAGTACTTGCGCTTTAACGGCGAGAAACAGACCACGTCAAGCAGCTGGAGGATGTGTGACAAGTAAGCTGGCATAGAGAGAGTAAGGATCTTGTTATCTAGGCAATAGTCCTTAAAATCCTGGTTAAGGTGGCTCTCATGGCCGTCCAAGATGAGTAGCCTGTATCCCCCTACCTGACGCGCTCTTGTATGCGCGTCAAAATGCTTCAACCACTCAAGGCTAAGCGCGTTGTTTGTCCAGCTGTTCTCAGAGACAGAGAGCTTCCAATTGTGTGGTATATCCGTCTCCTCGTACCAGGCAGAGATGTGGATGCGTCCTTTGTAGATGATGAAAGGCGGGGTCGCATATCCAGCAGCGCAGATGCTCTGTATAACTGTAACCCACTCCCGATCGCCTGGCTGAACAAGCTCAGGTTAAGCGCGTCTCTTAGCGCCTGTGACAACCTTCATTGACCCTATTACACCCATCTAGAACCTAGTCTTATTAAAGTTGTGCATGTCATTGTTATAGATGCTATACTTAGCCTTAGTACCTACCCTCTACTAGCATAAACCATGTGTTTGTAAAGTTATAAGACTTTGTTCTTATAATCTTTATCTAGCGTATTTCCCTTTTAAGTATAGTGCTATGCTTACCTAAGCATTGCTATTGTAATCTCCAAGAAGAGAGGATTAGAATGGTGTGCTTACGAAGCCTGCATCTCCTCTCGTTCTTAAGATATGCTGTTCTCTATTTTTAGTAACTAGAAATGTTCTAGACCCTCTGCTTACAAATAGAGTAGCCTACTCTGTAAGATGCTGACGTATACGATTACGCATACACCTACGTAATCTTGCTTGCATATGCAGCAATACTAAGCATAGATGCAGTAGACC